TTACTATAGTTAATTCATGAAAAATTAACTAACTGATAGTATTTATAATAATGTGTTTATGTGCTGTTATTAATTTATGTATTCAATATTTTAATATTTTAATTTCGTTACATTTAAGTTATTACGTTCAACTTCCTTTTGTTTCATAACCAGATAGACTGCCTATATGTGAAAACAAAGATTTTGCTATTCAAATATTTATTACAATAATTTAGTATAAAAACTTATTATAATAAGCACTCATATTTTATGTATAATTAATTTATGGAAAAATAACTACAGTTCCTATATTTTTTAAGAAAAACAATTAAAGTAATATATTATATCTTTTTAAGAGTGATGTGTTATATTCTAATTATATATAACTAAAAAAATGATAATTTTATTCCCGAAAGCATCGCGAAGGGTTCTTCCGTGCGGAGCCCTTGGACAAGTTACACAGAGACAGAGCCAAGTTGCACAGAGCCAAGTTGCACAGAGCCAAGTTGCACAGAGCCAAGTTGCACAGAGCCAAGTTACATAGAGCCAAGTTACATAGAGCCAAGTTACATAGAGCCAAGTTACATAGAGCCAAGTTACCTAGAGCCAAGTCACATAGAGCCAAGTTACATAGAGCCAAGTTACATAGATCCAAGTTACATAGAGCCAAGTTACATAGAGCCAAGTTACATAGAGCCAGGTTACATAGAGCCAAGTTACATAGATCCAAGTTACATAGAGCCAAGTTACATAGAGCCAAGTTACATAGAGCCAAGTTACATAGAGCCAAGTTACATAGAGCCAAGTTACATAGAGCCAAGTTACATAGAGCCAAGTTACATAGAGCCAAGTTACATAGAGCCAAGTTACATAGAGCCAAGTACATAGAGCCAAGTTACATAGAGCCAAGTTACATAGAGCCAAGTTACATAGAGCCAAGTTACATAGAGCCAAGTTACATAGAGCCAAGTTACATAGAGCCAAGTTACATAGAGCCAAGTTACATAGAGCCAAGTTACATAGAGCCAAGTTACATAGAGCCAAGTTACATAGAGCCAAGTTGCATAGAGCCAAGTGGCACAGAGCCAAGTGACACAGAGCCAGGTGGCACAGAGCCAAGGTTAGGTAGAGCTTGCTTAGAGCTTCGGTGTTAGCAGCTATGCAAGTTAGTTTAGGTTTCTATCGCGCCGGGGCGGGAGTTTGATCGTCGCTCGGGATTGCGACCCTCTGCGGAGATTCGCGTGGTCGAGGTCAAAAAACTGAGGACTTTTTACGATTTCTGCGGGCCGTGTGCGACCCTCTGCGGAGATTCGCTTCTGCGGGCCGCGCGCGACCCTCTGCGCGTGGTCGAGGTTCAAAAACTGAGGACTTTTTACGATTTCTGCGGTCCGCGCGCGACCCTCTGCGGAGATTCGCGTGGTCGAGGTTCAAAAACTGAGGGCTTTTTACGATTTCTGCGGTGCGCGCGCGACCCTCTGCGGGGATCGTGCGTGTCGAAGCGCTCTCGCTGTCTCTGCGGAGATTGTGCGTGTCGAAGTGCTCTCGCTGTGGCGCCGTGCAATATTCTTGCTCGCGAAACGGCCTTTGGAAGTTGTCTCGTGGTTTGCGCGCCTGCCTTCGCAATCCCGCGGTCGCGGGTTCGATTCCCCCCTGGTCCGCGGCAGCTCCGGCTTGAAAATCGCAGCTTTTAAGTACAAACGTAGTACGCGGAGCGTGCTCCTGCAGCTCCGGCTGGAAAATCGCAACTTTTAAGTACAGACGTAGTATGCGGAGCGTGCTCCCGCAGCTCAGGCTGGAAAATCGCAACTTTTAAGTACAAACGTAGTACGCGGAGCACACCCCCGCAGCTCCGGCTTGAAAATCGCAACGTAGTACGCGGACCGTACTCCTGCAGCTCCGGCTGGAAAATCGCAACTTTTCAGTACAGACGTAGTATGCGGAGCGTGCTCCCGCGCAACTTTTAAGTACAAACGTAGTACGCGGAGCACACCCCCGCAGCTCCGGCTGGAAAATCGCAACTTTTAAGTACAAAATAGTACGCGAAGTACATTCCCACAGCTCCGGCAGCACTTGCGCAGAGCAACTTGCGCAGAGTCACTTGCGCAGAGCAACTTGCGCAGAGCAACTTGCACAGAGCAATTGCACAAAGCACTTGCGCAGAGCAACTTGCACAGACCAACTTGCACAGAGCACATGCGCAAAGCGCTTGCACGGAGCAACTGGCGCAGAGCACTTGCGCAGAGCAACTTGCTCAGAGCACTTGCGCAGAGCAACTTGCACAGAGCACATGCGCACAAAGCACTTGCGCAGAGAGCAACTTGCTCAGAGCACATGCGCAAAGCGCTTGCGCGGAGCAACTTGCACAGCAGCACATGCGCAAAGCGCTTGCACGGAGCAACTGGCGCAGAGCAACTTGCACAGACCAACTTGCACAGAGCACATGCGCAGAGCACTTGCGCAGAGCAACTTGCTCAGAGCACATGCGCAAAGCGCTTGCGCGGAGCAACTTGCTCAGAGCACATGCGCAAAGCGCTTGCACGGAGCAACTGGCGCAGAGCAACTTGCACAGACCAACTTGCACAGAGCACATGCGCAAAGCGCTTGCACGGAGCAACTGGCGCAGAGCACTGCGCAGAGCAACTTGCGAGCACTTGCGCAGAGCAACTTGCACAGAGCACATGCGCAAAGCGCTTGCACGGAGCAACTGGCGCAGCAGCACCTTGCACAGCAGAGCAACTTGCTCAGAGCACTTGCGCAGAGCAACTTGCACAGAGCACTTGCGTGCAGCAGCGTGCAGCAGCTTGCAGAGAGCAACTTGCGCGCGGCAGCCTGGAACAATGCAGCTTGCGCAGACCACTTTCGTGAGAAATCGCGCGGCGCAGTTGGAGAGGAAAGTAGGATGATGAGATGGAGCTCTCATGTGACCATACACTGAGCATCGCCGCGCGCAGACACGCTCGCCGCAGCGATGTAAAAAGGTGTGTCCGCGGCTGGATGAGCGCCTGTGGAAAAATGCTTTCGGGCCAATCGTCCTCTAGTTATATTTCTTTTCCATTAAACAACAATTTTTACCGTAGCCATTTTGGCTCAAGGTACACCTGAGAATCTCTGTATTGTGTGATTTTCTTTCTAGTCTCACGAGACTATGGATGATTATTACACTGATTATCGATGGGTTGTTGCGGCGTACACTGCGACAGAACATGACGAACTGGGCGCTCGCTTTGCGGACACCCCAGTCTGATGAGTACATCTGGTCGCGCGTGATGACTGATGTCGTCACTGGTTGGACAAACTGGGTGCCTTGCGAAAGTCTTGTGGTCGCGTCTGCAGACAACTTGAAGTATTATCGTTCTGCTGATGGCAGGCCGTACTATGTGAACAGTAATTGCACATACTACGCCAGTCGGAAGAATTGGATTGGAAAGAAGTCCTGCCCAATGCCAAGCATGGACGAAATGGACGAAATGGACGCAATGGACGCAGCAGACGCAGCGCAGCGGGCACTGCGGGCATGGTAATCGTGATTACTTTTTTGTAATCACGCATGATTGCAAGCATTGTGGGACATGGTCACGTCTTAAAGGCAACAGGCCACTGCGTAACAGCGGTAGGACATTGCCTGACAGTGGTAGGACATCGACTACAGTTTTTTTAACAATATTATTTAATATTGTTAAAAAATCTAATAAATGTTTTCATTATTATTAGTTTTTATTGTTCATATTTTTATATATTTTTACATCTCATTTATATTTAATTGTAATATTATCTGTTTTTTGCATATTAAAATAAAACATAGCAATTCATATTATTATTCATTATTATATTATTATTTTGAAACTTTATAAACAACACATGTTTTATAATTGTTATAATAAAAGAATATTATAACAATTATTTTTCACTATGTCGGTAATGAATGATATGCTAAACGAAGCCATATTATATCACACTCTCCTGTAAAATCCAAATGTATGTTGCCTTATTGCAAATTTAGCAGATGCTATCGGGAATTTTGTCCTTGTTCACGTTTTGGAAAGGTGTTGAATGAAACTGAGCATTGGTGATTGAACCTCATCCATTTCATTCCACATAATTTCATCCCATTATAACTATCGTCTCCTAGTCTACTATCGGAACAGGTATAGGTTTGAAATCCGTGCCCCGGGTTTTCTAACCATGACGTCGTCGTCGTCGTCATGACGTCCCTTAGTCGTCGTCATGGCCTTGCTGACAACGTCGTCCTTAATGACGACACCCCACCCACCCCCACCACTTCCCACCCCACCCCACCCCGCCCCGCCCCACCCCACCCCGCCCCGCCCCGCCCCACCCCACCCCACCCCACCCCACCCCACCCCACCCCACCCCACCCCACCACCCCACCCACCCACCCACCCACCCACCCACCCACGCACCCCACCCACCCACCCACCCACCCACCCACCCACCCACCCACCCACCCACCCACCCACCCACCCACCCACCCACCCACCCACCCACCCACCCACCCACCCACCCACCCACCCACCCACCCACCCACCCACCCACCCACCCACCCACCCACCCACCCACCCACCCACCCACCCACCCACCCACCCACCCACCCACCCACCCACCCACCCACCCACCCACCCACCCACCCCCACCCTGCCCGACAAAGCCATATCGCAAAAGAGCCTTGGGGAAGTTTTCCTTGCGTTAGCAAGGCTGCGAGTGCAAGTGGTTTGGAATATACCCCAGTGCCACCCATGTGTTCTATGAGCCCATCTCATATTTTCTCCTTCCCTCCCCTGCCTTCCCACCTCTCCCTGAACCTCTTGGGCTGCTGGTCAAGACTGTCCTGTCGGAAAAACCTGCATAGACCCCATGTGAAACATCGTTCTGTCATTTACCATCTTTGCTGCCATTGCATGTCCAGTCCGCTCTTGGCTGCCACGACAGCCGCTGCCCCGCAAGCCTGCTACCTTTGGTGTCTCCTTCTCTGGCTGCCAACCCGCGCCTGACCCACCCGGGAGGCGGTGACCTGCCTGGCCGGGCCGCTGTCCTCCCGGAGCCCCACTTGGCCGAAGCGGCTCTCCGCCGGCGCCTGGTCGGCGGCGCCTCGGAAGTCAAGTCCAAGGAAAGAGGCCCCGAAGCGGCCGATGAGGTGAGGGGAGGTAGATGCGCCGTCGTGTAGGTTGGTCCAGGGATACTTGCCCCCACCCAGAAAAATAGAGAACCTGAGAATGATTTTTTTGCTCGGGGCGAAAGAACAGCCTTCAAACAAGATGCATTTATGCGTCAATTAGGGCAATCCCTGAGAAGGGTGGTAATTGTCCTTTCCTTGGCTTCCCTGCAAACCAACCCAAAAAGGGTACCCTCAAAACCTGCCGGTTCGTTTGGCTTCCTTTTTCGGGGTTCCTGGGATTCCCAGGTCCACCCCCAAAACCGCCAAAAAGCTTAGACCAGGGTGCCTTTTTTGGGATCCACCCCCTGAAGGTTAAGTCTACTCTGCATTCAAACAATGAAACCCACAGCGCGGAAAGAAGAGTTCTTCTTGGAGGGGACCTTCGGGACCAGCTTTTTCTCTGACCTTTTGATTTGAACTTGTTGGAACTCCTTTGGCTTGTTTTTTTTGTCGGATTTTATTGGCGCCCTTTCTCCGGATCGACTGTTATTGGGGACCGCTCGCAGTTTGCCATCGGCGAATGGACTCGGGTAAAAAATGGACCTGTAAGGCAAGCTGAAAGTAAACCTGGCGAGGTGCGTGGCATGGCCGGAGATCCCGGAGAATCTATTCGCCTGAGACACAAAACACCAAGCCCCAGCTATCCTACAACTGTCACAGATCTCCCCCCCAAACCGGCAGTCACTGTGACACTTTCTGGGTGCTTGCACCATCACTTGACTGGCATAGCAGGTAAACATGTTCATCTTCACCAGGCCAGGAACATGCTAAACATTATCTCCACCCCGAAGTCGCATGCTTCCCTATCTGCGAAGACATCTGAGACCAACCATTTTTGAGACTATCATATGGGCAAGTATATCCTCATCCAAAAGAAAAAACCACACGCCTCCCCCGAGGAAAAGAGAGAGAGAGAGAGAGAACACGAAAAAAACAACACCGGGTTTCCTCGAGAAGGCCGGGGTGGCCGCCTACCCTGGCGCCATCTCCCTGTTCTCGAATCTGAGGCCTGGCTCCGCTCCGTGCGCATCGGGCCCGGCCCAGGGCGCCCTGGAGAAAGATCGGGGCGGGGGGGCGGGTGAGGCCGACTTTCTAAGGGTTGATTCCGAAATGGGGTCAACCAGGGCATGTTGGTGTCCCTCAGGAAAAACTTGGTACTTGATCCCTTGTGAAACTCGGGTGGATTCCTTTTCCCATTCTTTTCAACCATCGTTCTTTTCTCCAAAACCGGCTCCGTTTGCCCTGGGTTTCGGGAGGTTTTCCAGAAAGAAGGATCCCTGCAAAGAATGGGGAAGGTAGCAATAGAAACTTCTGTTGGCGTTTCGGGGGCGAAGGGGGGGTTTTGCTACCTGCGTTTTGTATTTTTGCAGGATGCAAGGTTCCAGTTTTTTTCTTCCTTTTCTTTCTTCTTTCTTTGAGTGATTTTATCGTTGCTCCGTCAAAATGCAATCCACCAAACCCCTCTCAATGTTTGGTCTTTGTGCGTTCGCAGCTTTTTTCGGGCTTCCATATGGTTTTCCTTGGGAAAGGCCGCGGTTTTTGGCGGAGCTGGTGAGTCCAGTTTCATCGGTTTTCCTTGGGCTTCCCCATCTCTTCCGCTTCCCTTCCGAGGTACTTCGGAGTTGGCACGCCCTGGCGTCCAAAGAATCTGCACCGAGCCTGGGATATCATGGACCACGTGCAGCCCCTCGGCTCGCTTGAGGAGGCTACCCTTGTTGGGGTTTTGGAGAGAAACTTGGAGGGGTAGGGGTGCGGTATTGTTTTGGTCCCAGTGTTAAGAGTCGTTGCGGTCCTACTTTCGGAGTCGTTTCGGGAATTGGCAGAGTCGTTTTGGTCCTAGTTTGTGTCTCGTTCTTAGTCGTTTCGGTCCTAGTTCTTTGGTCAATCTACACGGTTCCCGGAAACAGGTCTGATTTTTAGACGCAGCCGCTGGCTCATGAAGTTGAGTTGAGTTGGGTTGAGTGGAGTGGAGTTGATTTGAGTGAACATGATTCGGCCAGGTTGTGTAACTACGACAAACATGAGCAACAACTACGACCAACATGATTCAGCAACTACGACCAACATGAGCAGGGGCGGGCTGAAAACGTCCAGAACGGACCAAAATGACTCCGAAGCTACGACCAAAACGAGAGGGTATAGTCCCTATTTTGACACATACTCGATGGGTCCAAAACGGGTGTTTTGGTGTTTTGCCTGTTTCAGGACCAGTTCCGGTTGGAAGCCAGTGTTTTGTGACCCGGATGTGTTTAATCAACAAAGGATGACACGCCCTCAACAAAAGACACACACACACACACACACTCTTTTAGTTGTTCATGTATTTTAAGGGTTGGAACACCCTCGGTATTTTTTGTTACCGGATTTGTTGGCTTTGGGCGAAGGGAAGCCCACATGAAAGGACACCATTCAACAAAGCAGCAAGGAGATCAGCAACAAAACCCAGAAGGAAGCCCAAAAGGAAGCCCAAACGAGGCCCAAAGGAAGCTCAAAGGAAGCCTAAAGGAAGCCCAAACGAAACCAACTTCTGGCGCCGCAGGGTTCGTTTTCCTTTGTGGGGATTCCCTGCTTGTTGCAGCAAGATCTCCAGCAGTCTATGGTCAACTTGGCGTGGACATGGAGGACTCTCGCTCTCTCTCACTCTCTTTCTGTCTCTCTCTCTCTCTCTATCTTTCTCTCTATCTTCCTCTCCCTCTTCCCACGCAAACCAGAGGGACTCTCCACTGTTATCTTGTGCATGGCAGGAACAGCATGTTTGGGGCCATGATTTGACCTTGGCTCACATGGTCTTGTCTCCAAATGAGTTCCGGAACCCCTGGTGTGTTTTCATTCAGGACCACCTGTACTTCCCACCAAAACCCACTTTAAATTTGGGCCAACAAAAAATGTGTAAACACCAGCAAAAGGGGCAACTACAGAGAGCTGTGCGGTGTAATTCAAGGACTTGGACCTCACAAATGGCGGGTTTTCTTTATTTTCCCTTTAAACAAGCTTTCACTTCAGGTACTGAGCCTCACACAAACACACACTCCTAGCCTAGTACCAAACCCACCAATCCCAACAACAGCGTGAAAACGTCTTGGAAGCCCTGGCGCTCCGTGTCAACCTAGGCTGAGACACCCGCAGGTGCAATGTTCTTCGAACCGCCACAGCCTGGGAGCCACCAGCAGCCTCCAGGCGCCTCTCGCTTTTTCCCATTTTTTTGGTGTTTTTTTTCTTTTCTTTTTTTTTCCCTCCGTCGGCTTTTTCTTGCTGCGAGAGGTAGGGGATGAGACATGGAAGGAACCCAGTTGCTTTGGTTTCCCCTTAAAGGACACCACCAGTTTTTTTTTTTTTTTTTTTTTTTTTTTTTTTTTTTTTTTTTTTTTTTTTTTTTTTTTTTTTAATAGGGGTCATTCCGAAGAGCACCAGCAAGTTTTGGGAAAGCGACAAAGGGAAACCACGGACCTCCAATTTGAAGAGCCCAATATGGGACTAATGAACACTGGGTTCGCAACAGCCATCATCTAAGACCCTCTCAGGCTTGTTGTTTTCTACCATCCCAAAGAGGATTGAGCCAAAATCAAAATCCGGCTGGACAGTCCAAGGCAGAAGTTGGTGCTGAAAGCTTTCCACGCTTCGCTTCTTTACATACGTCTGGGTTTTGGCTGGGGCGGGTTTTCAGAACCTAGTTCCTCCAGAAACATCTTTTTGATCCAGAAACATCTTTTTGATCTGCACCGGTGGATGAAACACATGCCCCGCTCACAGGGTCCCTTGCTGTTGAACGAGCACGTTTCGGCCAGCAAACCCTGCACACATCAACTGACAGTGAATCCATGTGCAAGATGTGGACACCCCCCAACAAGTTCCGGGATCGAAACCATCCTTTCAATTGTTTTTGCCAAGAACTGCTGAAGGAAACCTGTTGCAACGGGACCGTCTCGTGATTTGTGTTGCTTCATGTGGGATGTGTGGGACCAAGTGGTGAAACCGGTAAAGGGGGAGGTCCACGGAAACTTAGGCCCAAAAGCCTGGGTCAAATGAATAGGTTGGAAGAGTGCTTGTGGGCCCATAGCACTCTGTGTGCTCGTGAGTGAGTTCTATGCGAGTTACTGTTTTTGTTTTGAAACTGATAGTGATCACACACATACGCCTTTTCTTTTTTGGCAAGGCGATGTTTGGAGATTTGATCCAACATCTTCCTAAAGTCGTGAACATCGCCGGGCTCGCGGTGCCAGAGCCCAGGAACGGTCCAGCGGACCTTCTTTGGCAAAGAATGGTGCATGCCCACCAGTTGATGTGAATTCCATCCGGAAGTCGACCAACTTTTAGCAAGGTCTGAGCTTGAGGGTTGCTTTTGGATGCGACTAAGAGTTCCCTCCCATTTTTTGCAGGCTTATAGCACTCCTGAAAGGGTGAGTCAGGTGGGGTACTACGGGACACGTGTTTTTTTTTTTGCAGACACCAGAAGAAAGCCCAGAATTCGTGGGGTCCCAGTCAGGGGAAATGCAGGGAGCCCATCCCTACTAGATCTTTGAGGCGCTCCCTTTTGTCGCCTTTCTGCTTTGAGGAGCATCAAAGGAACCAGCGCTTTTTGTGGCGCCCTCGTCTTTCTCCATTTTACTCCGTGTTCGTTTTACGCCCTGACTCAGGAGTGCGCGGACAACTGCTTTTGGATGAACTGCCGTTTCTTCGAGTTCAAGCGCCAGACTCGGAGCTGTGTCTGGTGCCACGGCCTCAACGCGGACGGCTCCGATGTGCCGCTGGGGCCGCAGCTTTTGGATGGAGGCCCGCGCCAGGAGATCTGCAGGTCAAAATTAAACTACCAAAAATGGCTCTGGTGCTGGGTGGTTCTTCCCCTTGTGCGGGCCATCAGGTTTTAGTCCCATGTTTCCATTTACCAGGGTTCCCAAATGGGTACCTATTTTTTGACCCGCAGCCCCATTTTGTCCGGGTTTCGGATGCCCGGTGCTGTGTTGGAGGAGCTGGGGAAAAGCCGGCCAAAAGGGTGGGGTCATACACATGTTCAGGCAAACGAGGCGAAGGTAAAGGTAGTCGGACTGACACTCGTGCGCGGTGTTTTTCTCTTTAAGCGTCAGCTTTGGTGCTTGTATTGCAGCATTTGAGCAGGGTCCTGCTCGGCAGTGGTTTTTCCACCTCTGGGCCCCTCTCTTTGTTGGGTACCATTCTTGGGCGTTTGGTTCCACAGGAGTTGCAGGGGAAAAAGGAGGCGTTTTGGCATACGCTCCAATGCAAGAAAGACACGTTGCATGTCTTTTGGCCGTGTCGGTTGGGCTTCGGATGTGCGGGCCATTGGCGAAACCATGGCCATCTGGACGGGCGCTCCCAAGGACCAAAACGGGCTTCTGGAGCGGAAACGTGGTTTGTGGGTATTGCTGCCCTCTCCCCTTTCACATGAGTTTCCTTGATGATGTTTGAATGGGACAAGGACGGCTTTAGAAATGGACATGGATCTGAATAGCCTTCCCAAATGGTTGGTGGACAATCCTCAGAGCAAAATTTGCTGAGACGAGGCGAGCCCAAAGACAGCAGCTAAACGCATACACTCCCGCAAGCAGGAATCTGGATTACCAGAGCCTGCAGGGTACATCTAAAAACCAGTCCAAGTCAGATTAAGCAACCCTTCTGGAGGAATCAGGAGCATTTCGGCTTGCGGAGCATTTGTGAGGGAGATGATCTTTTCTGCCACATTTCTCCGATTGGTCCTCCGGATTTCTCCGAAGCCGGTATGAGTCGGGGATTTTTTACTTACAGAGCCTTGGCTCCGTGCGTTTTTTTTTTGGCTTACCCTCGGCTTTCCCCTAAAAAAAGCCGTCAACCACCGGCTCAAGCCATGCCAAGCCCTCGGCCATTGGCCATCGAGGATTGGAACCTCTGGCAGCAGGCGGCGAATCTTCCACGGCACCAGCCAGGGAGGAGTGGGCTCGTGTTATCCGGACTGGACATGGAGCGGACAAGGGTTGACCACTTCGGGTTGCCTTGGCACACAGGTTTCGCTGTTCTTTTTTTTTCTCCCTCTTTTTTTCTTCTCCTCTTTCTTTTTTCCCCCCTTTTTCCCCTTTTTTTTCTTTGGGTAAATCCCTTTTTTCTTCTTTTTATTTCTGTTTTCCCTTGGCTTCCATAAGCATCATGCTTTGCGCGGCTTGAGGCAAAAACGATTTGAGGCTCTCAGGCTCCGAGGCGTGATGTTGTGCCACATTCGCATTCCTTCAGAGATCTTTCCGGGACTGGGAGCAAGAGCTTGGCATGCCGCCGGTGTTCTGGCGAGCTCACTTGGGGGGAAAACGAGTTGATGAAGCTTTGCTTGGGATCCCTTGAATCAGGTTTTGGAAGGATTCTGTAGAGTTTGCAGATCATTTACAAAGATTGACCGCGCGCAGACCAGAATCCCAGAATGTCATGTTTGGTGGCAAGCAAAAGCTGAGGAGCCTTGCTTCTCGGTGCGCCACACCGAGTGCAGAGTACTCAAAAGTTTGGGTGTGGGCTCGCTGTGATTGACAAGGGTTCATCTCGCACGGCAGTTTGCTAGGACCAAGGATGGTCGCAGAGAAACACGAGTCCACTCACGTCCCCGGTTTCAAGGAGGCACACGCAGAAGGGGTCCCCAGTTTCAAGGCGCATACCGCTGACCTCGGCCAGTGGGCAGAAATCACTTTGGAGGAGTCTACAGCCTTGACACC